ATATAAACAATTAATTATATTTCCAATTAAATTCATACAAAATATACTTTTAATCAGATTTAAAATTCATTCAGTATCTTTCAATCTGTAGCTGTAAGTAGCCCTTTTTTATGACCATAGTTTTTATTTATAATTCAAATACTATATTATGCAAATATTGGCAATAAATTGCTCGCATTTTTTGCCATATTTGATGACCCCAAAATGAGGCCATGTCAGCAATAGTTATATAGTTAGCAGTCCGAAAGAGTCTAGGGAGCATGACGAGCGGGCTGACAGTGAAAGCTGGCATTGCACGGCTGAGTGGGTCAAGCACATAAATTAGCCGAATATACAATTTGATCGATTAATCTGAAGAGCTGGGCCCAAAAAGTTTCGCTCATAAATCTGCTGCACCGATTTCCAAACTGAAACTTAGCCGCAGCTCAAGCACTGCCACTCGCTGTGGCTGTGGCTGTGGCCTGGGGATGGGGATGGGGCCCAGCTGTTTGGCTAGTGGATGGCTACGATGGCTAGGATGGCAGCTAACCGCAACGAGTGCATAAATTCCGATCCAATTTTCAAGTGCGAAATGTGCGCAGCAGCCGCACGCAGTCTAGCGGATGTTGCGTTAAATTATTAAGCAAGCACACAGAGAGGGACATAGAGGGGGAGAGAGAGTGAGTGGAATATGCATGCAAAAACTTGGCACAGCGGAAACGGCAGCCCAACAGGCAAAACAAACAAACTCCCGGCGACACGAGGTTGTCTGACATTTATCAATTGTGACAGAAAGACAATGGCGCAAGGCGGCTGGGCAGGGCAGCGCGTGGCGGGGTGGGCCGAGACGGTGCGACGCGGCCACAAGGCATGACAAAATGATGCAAGAGCTTTTGCTTGTGCTTCTGCTTCTGCTTGTGCGCTCAACTCTCCCAAATGCAAGCGCTTTGCCAGTCCTTTGGCTTACTCCGTGTGCTGAAACAATGGGAGCCGAGATCGCTTAATCATAGCGACGACTGTGGTCGAGCATGTGTGCTAGCCCAGTTAGCCCTCGAGTTGGCCTTTTTGTTGTGTTGGTTTTTTTTATTTTCTTTATATTTGTTGGTTTGCTTTTCGCTTGCTTGCTTATATGAGCTGCATAAATCAGATGCACGCACTAAAACTCTGACGCTGTCAGCCCTATCAGGCAGCAGTTGCACGTTTTTAACCTAAAATCTGCTAACTGCATTGCCCGAACAGCGTGCCACAATTAATTGCATGCAGCCCGGACAACGCCGCGTATGAGCAATCGCATATATTTACTTTTCGCATTACTCATACGCAGCGCTGTCCGCCCATAGATACACGTACGTACACGTGCATAAAAAACGACTAGCACATGAAATATATTGTGAATAATTTCAACAGCTCAGCAATAAATGGCAACAACAAAAAAGAGAAACTTTTGCGAATTTACGCATTTAATATTTAAAGTTTCATAATGTTTATCAGCAAATAATTTACTCGCATATTTTGGCAATTAGCGTGCAGGCACATTTCCTCCACATTGGTTTACTTAGCAGTATTATTCAAAATTTTATGTATTTTAAGTTCACATTTCTGTGATTTATACGCCGCCATTTATAACGAATAATTACCGTTGTATTTACTGGTTGTTTTCACTTTTAACGGAATGTTTTCTTAGAGCCAGATTTCGGTTTCAATGAACAGAAAGGGAGAGAGAGAGAGAGAGAGAGAGAGAGAGAGAGAGAGAGAAGGAAAGCTATAAAGACGTCATAAATTTAAAATAACTGGGCTAAGTAGAGGAAAGCACAAAGCAGAGCAAACAGACCGACACACACACCAATACACATACAAGCATTTTGAGTAGGCACGAGCTTCTGCAATGTGCGTGGCCAAGCGCTGAGTCATTTTAATTTATAAGAGCGAAGCAAAAGAGCAAAAAAGTCTTGGAAAAAAATGCTGAGCCAAAGAGCAGACAATACGACAATAAAGCTTGATTCAAGCCGGAGTCTGTGCGTGGGAGATTTATCCCACATCAAGGCCGGCATCTACTACTTGATATGCTTGGGACAACAGCTGTGCTCTTTTCAATTTCAATTCGGTTGCTCGCACATACAGCGACCTTATGACCTCAACTGTCCACGCGTTCACTTCGCCTCCTCCTCCTGCTGCTCCTGCTCCTCCCTCCCGCTACCCATTTCACACACACACACACACACTTCGATTAAGTCATGTCAGTCATACAAATGAACTTAGCCACTTATCACACTTTCTCCCTCTCTCTCTCTCTCTCGCTCTCGATTTTTCAGGGTCTATTCTGGTCGCAGGCCTGCATCTGGCTCATCTATCCGGAGAAGCGCATACCGCACTTGAAAAACGAGCCCATGAACAGCACCAGCGCGTATCCGTTCCTCTATACGGACTACCTGCCCACCGAGTTCCTCATCAATGGCATTGTGTCCGCCTGTTTGACGATAGTGAATGTGATTTGCATATTTATAACGGCCATAATAGTGCTGAAAATCAAGGAAGTATCGGCGCCATACACAGCCAGCCCGGACCTGAAGCGGTAAGTGGATTCGCAACGAGCTGCAAGTTTTCAATATCAAAGCCAGGCAGCAATATGACAGCAATAAAGTTGCCACCGCCCGTCCCACCCTCCATTCGCGCTGCGAAATATGCACTGAGCTGTTCCTAATGACCGCACACTTCGTTTTAAGCTTATCACTTCCGGTCTGTGCGTTCGCCAAATGGCCAATCGGCCATTTGTGAATGTAATGAATAAGGGAAGCAACAATCGATAGAAATTATAGTGTATTTTTATTTGATCCAAAAATAAAAATTGTCTATTAAAAGAGAGAATAATCAGAAGAATGCTTTGTTTGCTAACATAGTTAATATAATGAGGAGTCCTATTAAATTTGCTGAATCTAACTTGACTAGAAGAATATACTTAATTTCGCAATGAAATAAATTATTCGTCAGATTAAGTAGTTAACATAGAGGTGCTTTAGCTGTATAAAAGAGCAAGAAACATTATTCGCGACTGTTAAAATTAATATAAGATAATCCCTATCTTCAATAACAGACTGATTATTATCATTATAACTAACAGCAGTGAATAGTGCTGTTCAATATGTAAAGCATTCATTCTGTTAAAAAACAGTCACGGTAGCATAGTAATAAACTGTTAAGTAACACAATATTATAACTAACAGCAAGCAGTTCAGTTCAATATTTATTTAGTCTGTTTACAGTCACTGTAAACTTTAACAGTTTTAGCTTAACAATAGTGTCAAGAAGCTGTTAATTAACACAATAGCTAACAACAGTGAGTAGATACATACGTAATACGTATACGTCTGTAGGTTATGAAAAGCAATCTGTTAGCTTAACAGCGCGAAGTGAAATCAAACAATTTGGGCGCTGTTACTTAAGACCAATAGACAAAATAAAAGTCTTTTAACAGTGTTTAAAGACTGTTAACCGGCAGCCACAAAAGAAAGTTCAAGTTTGCTGTACGATTTAACAGCTTAGGTTTGTTACTCGATGTTAAAAACATCCAATATTATATAGAAATATTAATAATTCAATAGTGTCAATAGTTATATTATTAATCGAAATTTATATTATCATTATATTGAACATCCATTAACTCATCAGCGCTAATATTTCAGCATTGTTTAGCTATTTTGTCATTAGAAATTCTTTAACTTTAGCAATTTCATTCGTTTATTCAAAATTCTTGTCTGCTCTAAAACAACGCCCGCTTGTTGATATATTATCGAGGTGGTCATAACATCAAATACATATTTAATTAGCCTGAAACCCATAAGGCTCGCACATTGCCGATGACAAATCTTATAATTAACTGGCTTATTTCGTGCATTTCATGAGAAGTGCTCGGGCTAATGTTAATAAATGGCTTTTGTTGCGTCGCTGCCTTCTTCTGCTTATAATAAATGGGCATCTAAGTCGCATAGACGCCACTGACCCCCACTTGGAGGCTGGAGACCAGACATGAGTCTGGCCTGGCCTGCCCTGGTGTGGTCTGCTCTGGTCTGGTCTGGCTACGTGGCCTTCAATCTCATAATGTGACGCATTAAATTACTTGAAGCGTGCACAAAACAAATTTTGTTTGCTGTTGCAGAGCTCTGTCAACACGGCTCACAGATATTATGTATGCCAGAGTTTTTTTTCCACTATGCACAATGTTGCCTATTAAGGCAAACGCACGCTCGCTGGCTCAGCCACCAGGCAGCTTATGTTTATGCTATACCCTGTTGGCTGCTACAAAAGCTAGGGTAGCTATGCATATGGATAAGGATAAGGAAAGAAAGCATGAAGGGAAAAATAAAAGAAGCATAAGGTTGGGGAAAAGGATAAAAACAATGATAGAGGATATTGACAAAGGTAATGAAGAGGATCAGGATAACGATAAAGTCAAAAATATGAGTGTGAGATTAAGATCAAGGATATATATTGAGTGAAGGATAAAATAGAAGACAAAGATAAAGACAAAGGATATAGATAGGAATATGGATAATGATAAAGAAAAATATAAGGATACGAATGATGATAAGGATAAGGATATGGATAGGGATAATCATAAATCATAAGGATAAGAGTGAGGATAAGGATAATGACCCTATCTTTAAGCATAAGGATAAGAGTGAGGATAAGTATAATGACCATATCTTTAAGGGTAAAGACCATTTCTTGACGTTTTCCTTCTTTCTTATCCTTATCCTAAGTCTTATACTTATATGGATAAGCATGGGGTTAAGAGCTCTCCATATCATTCTTATTATTTATATGATTATCATTACTATTGTCCCTACCTTCAGCACCTCTATAATTATTATCTCTATTATTGGAGTCTTTGGTTTGAAACTCACTGATGTCTAATCTCTCTACAGGGTATCTCCTCGTCGAGAGTCCCACCTAGTCCCTTATTGTTTTACTGTCTGTCTGCGCACATTTAACAGTTGTTTATGCAATATTTGTGTTTGCTGCTGCTGCATTCAACTCGCGGCAGCCCTCTTGGTCGGGGGGCCAACGCCCTCGCCCGAATAGATGTCATGGACGGGCAGCGGTTTAAGCAATTCGTTGTCCATATGGCTGCGGGCTTATGTGCAATGCAATGTTTTCCATTCGGACTCAGCAGATCTTGCAATGCGCATAAAGTGCATAGATTCGTATATTTATTTATTGAAACCTTGTTTGCTTTGCTTTGGCAAATTGAAGCTCGTTTCGTTTCCAAGGGTTTTATTTGCTTACATTGAATGCAGCCAGGGCTCGATGCCAAATGGAAGCAAATGAGCAAAGTCTCAAATTTGTTACTTAACTTTAACTCATCTTTAATTTCTTTGCATTTACTTTTTAATATTTAAGAACAAATTAATTTATATTTTGTTTTCATTTGTGTCTTTTGATGCTCGCACAGCTTTTGGGAAACAGATCTACGGACCGTGCGCAGGACGAACCGCTCAACGATGCGCCATCGACAGGGCACGCTGCGGGGCGCTGGCGGAGGAGCTGACAAGCTTATGGGGTAAGTGTGGATGAGAGGATGGAGAAGTCTTTAGTCGAAGTCGTTGCCATTTTTTTTTTTTTAAATTTATTTTATTTTATTTTGCCTGCTTGTTGTTTATTGTTGTTGCGGTAATTGAGCGCATGTGTGATGCAGTCAGTGTGTGTGAGTGTGTGTGTGTGTGTGTGCGTGTCTGCTCATGACATTCCTCAAGGCCAACGCAATTTACTTTTGGCTCATTGGAATGGGAGAGCCACACGTCTCCAACCAATTTCCAGAGGTAAATAACAAACGTATTTATACTATGTCGCATACGTCTTGGCCCCGCCCACCTGTCCACCTGCCCACCTGCCCACCGCACGTATGTTGTTTTTAAGGATATACATCATTTTGATGGCGGCGAGCAAAACGGGCCACATACAAAATATTTATCGCATAATTGAAATCATTGCGCACAAATTTACGACATGATTGTGCAAAAGCGTAACAGAAATATTGCCCAGCCCAGCTCCATAATGCGCTGAATCGAAAGATATATACTGGAGGGCTACGCTCATAATAGGCTGAGGTCGACTACATAAATTGCAGATACGAAGCGTTTGCAATTTGATGGGAAACTCAAATTGAAATAAAATTGTTTTTTTAATTATCACAAAAAAAGGAGAAAATAAATAGAAAAAAAAAAAAAAACATTCATTAAGCACGATCAAAGCACATTTAAACGTCAATTTGGGTCAGCAACGGGTACTATAAAAGGTACACTGAAAA